TCATTGTACTTCAAATTTCTAATCTATTTGTTGGTATTTTAGAGCACATAATTATAAAATATTTATCTTACAGTTTTTCGTAGCTTCATTCACGCTTATTCGTTTTGGGTAAAACAATTAAGTGCAGAAACAAGTTAAGTTAATATGCCTGAACTCCTTTTTATTCCAATTTTACTTTATGGAGGCGAGTTAAAGGGTCATTTATTGTTCTATACTAAATGGTCTTTTAGTTAATTCTGAGTAGCATTGTGAGCATCGTTTACTCACCAGCATATCATTGCATTCTGCTGCCCTATAACCGTTCCTACCGCCACGAATATACACGCACACAAACACCAAAGCGAGAGGTGAAGGCAGAAAATGTCGCAATTCTCTTGGCGCTCAGCCAATGCATTCACCCTGAGGGTTGCGTAATGCCTACGTTATTAGCGTCACAAACGGCCGCATCATCGTCGTCATCATCATCACCCCCCAGTACGCGTGCGCACGTGTGGACACGCGTGTGGGTGGGTGGGTTTGCGTGTTAGTCTGTCTGCCTCCCTCATCCTCGTTCCTCCGCTCCTCTTTCCCCCTCCTCGCTACTTTTCTCGCTCAGTGTCTGCCTCTTGCCAGTGCTTGTACAACTCTGGTGTGGGTGAGGTTGTGCGCGCGTGTGCGTGCGTTTATCGGTTTTTCCATTTCACCCCTTTCCTTCTTGCACAAGCTTCTCTCCTTCCTCGAGAACACTTCAAGACGTACGTTTTTGCACATCCACGACCGTTTGAACCAAAGTGAATCATTTGTATGCCCAATTAGCGACACTCGCTGCTATGGCAGATGGGAGCACTTACAGCAGTAAATCTAAGCCCCTTTATCGTGCCTAAGAGTGGTACCAAAGGCAACACCAGGATGGAGAATTAGGGATTATTGCGGCCATGAGCAGATGGAAAAATCATTTACAGATGCCATAAAAGCCCAAACTGTGCTTATCGGAAGAAATTATTGAATGGATGAAACAGGGATTGAGACCAAAAGCCCATTCTATATCCTACGCAAAACGAATTCACTTTAGCGACGAGGTTATCTCCTTGGCTTTCCTTAATAATTTAACTAGAAGTTAGTATTCCCCTTTTCTGGGTTTGAAAAGAAGACTAAATTTATGTTGGGTAACATAGTTAACCACAACTTAGGTGTTGTTGCTACTATTATTGCGACAGGTGAGAAGGCGATTAAAACCGTTATTTAAGCTAATTCCATTTGAAAATAATTCTGAAGTAGTGGGTACTGAAATGCCATTTGGCAGACGTTCGCATGGGTCCAGTTTACCCAATTTTTGCTTAACCCTAGGTGTGTCTGACTAGATCTGTACATTTCCAGGGAATTTATCTGGATTAATTTTCAATCAATCCAATTTTAGGGCACATGCACCGGGCAGACAAGCCCGTAACGTTCACTCGCACGAATTGTTCACCCTAAATGGGAAAATAGTTGACGCATCGAGTACCAAAACAAGCATTATGGATACGCTAAATATAATTTAAAAACTTGCAGTGAGCCAGCCAAGACAAAATGCTTACCCGATTTCACATAGAGGCAGCAGTGCAATTTTAAGCAGGAGACATACTGCTCCACACATTCACTGCGATCACGGGAATCCGAGAACGCTTTCCTTCATTATTGTAAAGCTCCAAAAGCTTTGATTGACCTTCATCTTTATCTATTGGAATTGCATGCATATTGTTCCATAAATTCAATCAACTTAGTCTGACACTTGTATCCATGATAATTCAGTGCTCTTGAAACACATTCGTGAATTCTATGTTCCGTGGCGCAAAAACATGATGATATTGTTTCGTGCGTAAAACATACATCACCTCGGTGTTTCTTCCAATTCTTAAGTGGAATACAAATTGTACTTTGCACATGGAACCATTGAGAGGGTTTGATTTTGGCATAAACGACTACAGATTTTAGAAACACACCCCTGATAAAGCTGCCTCCTTTGCACATAGCATGCTTGCGTAGTTTCATAACAGATTCGTGCTTTTCTAAACGCAGAAATGCACCAGAAACAAATAAGAAAAAAAGACATACGGGAATGCATTGCTAATGACAACAACAACAGAGGAGCGAAAATCTAAAAGATCCATTCAGCAAACTGTGTTCAAACTGTTTTTGCTTAACGTTACTGGCAGTTGCAATAAAGCCTGTAAACCAAGACAAAAGAAACATGAGAAGAATGGCGGTGCCAACATAAGGCGACTCGATTTTCTCCTCTATCGGAGTGACACTTTGACGCTAAAATGTAGATGTAAACAAAGTCACCGTTAGCTACGAAACCCGAGATAGTAGTACTTTTTACACTAAATGGACACATCACAAAATTAAACAAAACCAGAAGAAAATACTGAGTATCCACAGTTCGATTCATTAATATGGTTAGATTCGAGAGTTAAAAAGATTTGTTTTGCAGTTGTGAGAGCTTAAACGATGCTCCGGATAGTATAAGGAGTGTTCCCCCATTCAAGGCGATTTCAAGTCAACCAATGTCTTGCATATATTTTAAATGAAAAGACGATCAGATTTCTACTGCTTTAGGGATTACAATAACAGTCCTTTAGTTAAGTACAAATTTGTTTACGATTTTGAAAAAGTGAAGTGCTTACTCCTGGATGCAGTAGCCCACGCAAAACCCAAATAAAAGTATGCGCTTCCAGAGTTAGTGTTTTTCAGCCAATTTATTCACTTACACCGACAACTGACAACAGCTGGAATTACGCGGTCATTGAATGCCGCTATATTTAATGGTGAATAGGAGAAATTGTGCCTCCACCCTGACTGTCAATTGATTAGTAGAATTCAAATGGTCGGCACTGTATGGGCAACACAACTCGGACTCATCAGCCTCTGTTCAGCAGCAAAGAGAAGGGGCGCATTGTGGATGAAAAGCCGGGCTATTTTGTTTTGTGCATTATTGTACATTATTATTGCACTTTTTGACATTCATCATGATATTTCCACCCGACACTTGACGGGACCCTGCAGTCAGGGCTAACTGCTAATAGTGCTGTAAGTTTTATCATGGATTAATAGCCCTCTTACATCTTCTCAAAAGTCACCGTATACCACAATACACCCAAGTAGACCATTTTTTGCACGTCAGCAGGTTATACTTATTAAAATTTGGGATAATTCTACCAGTTGTCGAATTGTTTGCTTCAAAAAGGTTTCGTTGTAACAATGAATTGTAGCCGATTTTTTTTACGGAAAAGGTGTTACGTACACCTGTATGACTAGTTTATATCTTTTTGCTATCAATAATTATCAGGTACTAATATGAAAACTGAGCCACTCGTGTTAAACACTTTTGGAAATGGCTTTGATAGCCATTCGTCGTTAGTCGAGATGAGGGTCGAGGTCATGGATAAAGAATTGAATTTTAACAGTGTTTACGATGTAGTAAAATTAAAAGTTACAATAAAAGCGAATCTGTTTATCCGTCAGAATTCGAAAGACGCACCTGAGCAGGATTGCTTGAAGCATTGTGTTGCTTTGTAAAGTACCAACACTCATATCACGAATTGCCACAATTATATATTTTATAACTAAATATAAGCAATGTCATCAACAAGAGTCAGGTAGAGCATTTACTTCAAGCGAATCATTATCGCTTGATTTTGCAACTGCAAAACAATTTCGAGGATCCAAGTTAACATTATTTGGATTCAATTGTTGTAAAGCTACCAATTAGCAGCGCTTTAAAAAGAGAAACCCTTCTTAAAGTCATATTTGCGTTTTGATTGATACCAGAGCTAAGATTTTACAAGTGATTCCTTTCAATCAGACCTTTTCATCGGATTTATTTTTCGCTTGATTTGCTGGCGCTAGGTTCTGTTATTATTTGTTGGTTCTTACCGGGTAAAAGTTGAAGAAAATCTCCCAGCCTCAGTTTTCCTAGAATAAGTTTCATGGCAGTTTAATTAATAGCAACAATGGCACCAACCTTAGGACTTCCAGATGATGTGTAATAACGAGGTTAGCCACCGCCAGGTAGATCTGTATTTTCAAATATTGACAGTTTACGTGTACCAATAATTGGAGTTCTCAAGCAAATACAAGGAAACCCTTTTTTACTCACCTCTCACATTATTTGGAAGTTAGAATATGCTTTAAGGAATCGAGCGATACACCGAGGGTTCTTTTCTCGTAACGCCTCAAGAATTACCCATAAAGTACATCCAAGGATCACGCTAACTTTGCATTTCCGGACGTCACTTTTAATTTCCGCTACTTTAGCAAAGTACTACAGACGGGTGTATGTGGAAATAATAATTAAGTCTTCTCCGCACAACCGACGAATCTTTCGGCAGACGGCAGAGCAGCATTGCAAAGCCCCCAAAGTTCATCCAATTGCCTACTTTGTGAGTCTACTTAAATTAGTAAAAGATAGCAACTGTTCGATTTCGATTACACGTCGGTTTTGACTTGTGCCAAAGAATAAACAAGCAATCCCGCGCCCGGTTAGGTACCCTCCAACACACACGCCTTCTTTGATAAGATCGCACAGAACTACCTGTATGAAGTCTCTAATGTACCTATTTGTTTCATATTTGCAGAATATCCATCGAATTTCAAATCGTCAAAAATTAAACGTATTCGTAACTGAATAGGCTTTTGCATCTATTGAAAGGATTCATCGTGAATACAAGCCCTTTGAGGAATGAGGATTGATTCTACAAAGTGGTGATTTAATGGATTGTGATCTACGCCACAGTGATTCAAGTAACGACAATTATATGTGCGTATCCAAACAAAAGATGGCATCAGAAGGGTCGCCAAGATCCGGTTGTAGCGTGACAACAACCAACCAAGAGTGAAGGGGAGGGGGAAGAAATCAAGGGGGCAAAGATAGCAAGAATAGCGCTGCCCCCTTCCCCCTCGGCTCCATTGCTATCATGTATGGATGTTACAACTGTGGTGCGTTGGGATCTTCTGCGCAGCTTTTGTGTAGAGAAGACCAATCAGTGCACCAAAATCGGACGCCCAAGGGGCAAGGCAGCACGTCGTCTCTCGCGCCTCTGCAACTGGACCCACACGCAACCACGTAGCTCCAAAATGCAATTAAATCGCTTAAACCATCTCGGCAGCAAGCCAGCCACCTCATCCATCCTTATCTTTTGGGCGTTTTCGTGCTTGCCACGTCCTGGTTCCTCATTGCAATTCATGGTAGCACTCAGTGTAGTCCGAGCTGATTTTCAATAAGGACTGGCTAGTTACCGAAATATAGTGGTGAACCAGATGGTATGAGTCCAAATATAGCGTAAAGTTCAAATAATGTCATAAATTTGTGAAGCGATTATACAATATCCGCTTAAAAAGCATTAGTTCAGTCTAGCACGACTGTAAATAGCTTCATTCAGTCGGCCTTAATTGCGCAGCATGTACTGAACGGGAATTTAAAGCTTTCCCAAACATCACTCGTATTGGGTTAAACTTTTTGGTTTTGGGTAAAACCGATTTAACAATGTTTTCTGTTTTTTAGATCAAATGACTATCCATTTGTTAGGCTTGTATGATTCATAACCATTTAAATGATTATGAAGAAGGCGAAGCAACTACAACATAATGAATGATTGATAATTCAAAAAGGAAATTTAATCTTCAAATATCATAAAAAAGCAAATATTTTCCCATCTGCTAACACCTCCACCAGATCCTATTAGCATATTCTAAAGAGAATCATCAACTTAAAAATGTCTCCTTTCCAATAGTGGAACAGACGGAAACACCCTTCGAGGGGTGAAATTAAGTCGTTAGAGGGTACGTCGCTTATTTTTACTCACCTTTTTACTAATCGGAGGTCAAGAGTTCTCAATTGTGCAGGTTAGTAGGTTACTATGTACTCCGAATCCTAGAAACAGGCTTTTGCATTGTACACTGGTCAGTGATATTAAAATGTGGTATTCGAACTCAAGTAGCTCACACCAAAGAGAAAATACCAGTACTGTCCCAAGCGGCATTCAGAATGGAAGTTTCAAATACGCTTCTAATTGACTTTGGTGTTTTACACTGAACGAAGAACACTAGGTAGTTTTTATTCAGGGTAAGTGAACACCCCCTTCCTGGACTGTTTTTGCATAAAACAGTGCCACAATTTAGCTAATCTAAAAACGCATCCTTAACAAGAATACGTGGTAGCCGCACCAGTAATATGGTCTGTATCTTAAAGTGTATGGACCCAAGTATAATAATCCCTTTCCGAATGTAGTAGCAATGACTAGCCACACCGTATGCCTATTCTGCATTCCTATAATCTGTGCTAAAAAAGTTATAATTTTGCCTTCAGAAAGTAACCCTCTCTGTGTGCTGTTTCCACATACTTACCACAAATTTACATAAAACAGGTACACATCACCTCATCACTTATCACTTCATCACCGCACATAACACCACGGGTACAAACATACGACCTATTCCATTTGAGGATTGACATATTACATATGCAAACGCTAAAACTTTTCAATTTATGTGATATATCACAATTAGGTGCTATGATGTAATTGAAATTCCCCAGGTGGCAGACAAACCCACAAAGGTTTCCGAAGATTCAAACCAGTCAAAATCCTAGTGCGTCAAAACGTAGTAGAAGCGCCTCCGAACGAAAGGCATCATATTACTAATGCATTCATAAAAATGTACACGTTTGTTAGAGCATAGGCATTTAGAAATTATGACTTAAACTAATTGATATGCGAAATACTCATTCCACAATACTAGAATGTGCGGAGCCACTCAATATACGAGAGGGCTTCGTACCTTACTGTCTCTCGGAAAAAAGAGCAAGCCAAAATCATAAGATGGTTTTATGGCTGATACTACAAGTCTTCCTTGTAGTCTTTTGCGCCAACATTCGGCAAAATTTGTAAATAACAAGAATCTTTCGAAGTCATATAAGGAAAAATTAAAACGTCTAATAACTACAAAGTTTTGTAATTTCTAATTTGGATAACCATATGCTTTGGTAGGAACAGGGTAAAACAGCCCATAATTACAGAACTTATAAGCTAGGTTGAAAATTTGGATCAGTACAGTCAATAGGTACCGTCTGTAGCCAGTTGTTTTGTAGGCATCGATAGTGTGATGCACCGTCCTGAAGGAGGCGAAACATTACGATATTAGACATTTCACATGCAATGGCCTCAGTAAAAAGTGGATCCAATCACAGAAGAAAGAGGTAAATTAACTAATTAGTTAATTATTGATATTGGAGATTGTTGGGAAAACCCAGGAAAAGCCCCCTTTTCGTGAAATTCACTATGCAAAAGTGTCATATGCATTGTTACACATTATAGTTGAGCGGTTACAGTTACAGTGATGGTATTACTTGATTCATTAACCAAGTGGAGCATTTTAAAAGACTCAGTGAGCATCAATTTTTCAAGCTCAAATATTACACTCCTGTTCCTTGATGACAGCCAAAAACCAAGAAATAATTTATCTTGCTTACTTTGAATTGGTCGAATATGTGCAGGTTCATGACCATACAGAGAGTAAAAAAGCATCGAGTGTAAAATTCTTTGTAAAAAACAGTATGCAAAGACATTCTTGAGTTCAAAAAACGCAATTTATACAGCAACTAATATCAACACCAAGTAGGAAGGGTAAAGTGAACCGAAACGAGTTTTGGTTTGCAACACTGAAAAATAATAAAGTATTAACGACATGGATTGCTTTCTAATACAGATTAACAACTAGTGATGCTGTATTAAACGAAGGTGGATTCTACCAGAGTACTTATTGCACTAAAAATAACTTTAATGCTTTAGCGCTTTTATAGTCCACAGTAAAATTAAGTGATTTCCTTGAGTTCATTTACGCTTAACAGTTTTTGAAAGAATTTTGTGCAATTTGAATGGATGCTGTCAAAAAATTGTTAGCAAATTTCCTGAGAACACATTAATAATAGTAGTGTGCCGTTGTGTAAAGAGAATACAAAGAAAAGTACGTGAAAGTTAATTGATCCAAGCGCTTTGAACACGCTTCGCTCACGTACGCCGGATACCAACGTTAGCTATTTAATTAATATCAGATTCTCTAAATCACTGATAAGCTTTCGGGATGTGAACACTTTTACATAATTTTGCCAGCTATTACATAAAGTATGGAACGACTTATCAGGAAACCAATCAATGATTAAACGAACAGATCCAAACTACTGGCTCTCTACAAAGTCGCCCAAAACATCTAGCCCCACTTATAAGAAAATTTAGCAATTGCATGTAAAATGAAAAAAAATACAAAATACGTATATTTGCGTTCGATTTACTAGATGAATTGTTACACAAAAGCAGTTACAGCGAAATAAATACTTGAGAAAATGACCTATAAAACGAGGAGTCAGTGAAAATAGCCTTGAGAACATGAAAAGACTCAATTTTTAGGAATATTGAAAGCTATGCGGCGTTCAGAATCCAATAGTTCATCTCACTCACTTTCAAGGAACCCAACCATTGTGCCATTGACACAAGGCTGTGGAAGTTGGAGCAGTGGAAATCGGCCACAAAATCCGAGCACGAGACTTACTCACCAAAATATGTTTGGGGACATTTAGGCTCAACATAGTAAAAAGTCAAAGTAAAAGTAACTTAAGCCAATGAAAACTCACAAAATCTCTTCTATACGTCGCTACTGTTCAGTAAATGCAGTGCAATGTGGTGGTAAAAGAGTAATCTACTAACAATTTTAGACAGGTATCAAACTTTGGCGAACAACAATTGACGAAAAATAAGGAAATATATGCATGAGCTTTCCAACAAAACTCTCAATATAGGCACATAAATATTTGCGAGGCTTCAATAAGATGAAGTTGGACGATTTATTGAAGTCAGGTTAGATGTTTACAAAGCACAGAATAAACGGATCCAAAGACAAAGTGCATACAAGCTGGTGCGTTTTAAAGTAAAAATTACCTGAAATTACTGGGAGTTCTCCCATTCAAAAGATTTTCAATATGGAAATGCATAAAAAAAATCAGTACGCAACAACCTTAAATGCATCCACACACCGATTAGGCCCCCAGAAGATTAAGGCAACAAAAACAATCTGAATTTATTGTAGAATTTTCGAATTAAGGTAGCTGAAAGGTCAATTTTTGTCACAGCTCTTACCAGGCAGCATGAAATGGCGGCATGATATACCCGATAAGAACTGGCACAAAAACTGAGATGAATTCTATCTTGAGAATCAAAATTGTTTGCTACAAAATTTGTGCCAGGATAAAAAAGCTGCATAAAGGGATGAGAAGTACAACTTGCAATCAGGGGAAAGCAAACGAAGCATCGTTAACACAGGCGATGACCGAAACCCCGCCCGAGGTTCTGATTTTAAAGCTAGCTAAGTAAAACAAATCAATTATTTGTTTATGTTTTTTACAAATAAGCGTAAAAAACCACTCATAAATTTATTTAGCACGCTTAACTCATTAACAAACATTTGTTGGGTGGCTGCGAACAGGTGAGAATGATGTAAATGATTAGTTCCGGTCACGTATTAGGGGGCTTGTTTTGTACGATTACATAGTGAAATTCTAAGAATAGAATAGTAACAGACTGCCTTAAAAATGCAATTGTGCGTAGTACTTGTTATTTTGTAGCTGTGGCGGCTCTAGCCTTCCCCGAAATTTATGCAAAGTCATTGTGCTCTGGGAGAACATACGTTACCAGGTGATCCAAGGACCACATAGCACAGTAAATGCACAACCGGCGAAGTCTCAAGTACTCACGTAGTTTGACAGCGTGGCGACTGAAATCACAACATCTCCCCTTCCGAGTGTTGCCCTCTGCAACCGCTTTAGCTAAATTAGCGCATTGGCCACTACAACGTAGTCGGTGCTTTAAAGCCATCCTTTAAAGCCATTTACAGATTAGTAATGTCGATAATTTTTTTGTGTGCCTTTAACCATAATGTCATTGATGCATCATGCCAATTTTGCTCACCTTGGAGGTTGTTGCTGCATATGAACTGTATTATTATGGAAAGTAGAAAAGCTGTCACAGTATTGACTTTTCGTGTTCAGGAAAGACCTGAGACGCTACACATGTTGTATGTCTTTCCTCCTCGTCACTTTATCGTATTTCACTAGTATAGACATAAAGAAGGTATTGCTTGTCCACTTAATTACCTTCTTCACATAGATATGGCAGACAGCTCCATAATGATGTAGCGCCCCGCGACTTCACTGAAGACGACTGAAGACATAATACTCGGGCAGAATATATGTATTCGACATAGAGAAGGTGTTAGGGCTACTGGCATGACCCGAAGGCCAGCCCACTCGGAGAGGTACAATGGCTAAGTCAATAGTGGTTATTTATCATACCTACCGTTAAACAAACCGCCAACGTATTAAAATAAACTTCCTTAAATGATTTGTATTTGATGTCGTCCCAATTTTTAGTAGTATTCTTGCAGAACACGCGGCGGATGCTCTTCTTCTGTCACGCTAAGGCATAGTCATCAGTCGTAGAAGCCCGAGTATCTGTAGTTTTGGCTCAGGTTCGTTTGTTGCTCCTACCAATGCAGAGCCATGATTATTCCCTGCATTTGTGAAAAAAACTCATTGTGAAGAGTTGGGAGACTACTGGCACGCCACAGAGGTCATGCCACAGTGCAGAAGTACAACCAGCTGGAATTGATGGACCCACATGGCACTGAAACTACTAGTCCATGGTATTAATCACCCAAACACGATGTAGTTGCCTTTTGGTATAATTTTATTGGATTACAAGAATTCACATGTAAAGCTGGCTTGAATACAAATTAAATGCACAAGTGTTGGTCAAATTAAAGGATTTTCATCTTAAACAAATAATTATTATATGCATTGTTTACCCTTTTCGAAAATTATGCTTGTTGATGAAATTTCAAAATCATTGTGATCACATATTTTAATGCCATTTTAACGATAGTACAAACTGTAATTATGAACACAAATTTCGCCATGTTACTTATATTTTTATTTAAAGCATTTCTGACCAATTTTCAAGTAAAGTTTACTGCATCTCCTAAATTTTTGTGCCCGGTATTTCCCCGTTTAATGAATTTATTATGAAATTTGCTAGGGTAAATTAGTTTGAAATACAATCAAGTGTGTTGCAATGCTATCGGCATATACCTTTTACCTTTTCGCATTTCAAATAAAGTGATTCAACCAAATGTATATCGAAGCGGGAGGAATTTATAAACAGCGACCCCAAAAAGACACTTAATCCACTTATCTTTAGACGTTCACTCTAGACGTCACTATTTTCACTACAGCAAGTCGTTTGATAAGATGTCAACCCGCAGAGTTCATTTTCAGTTATTAGCAGCAATTTCTAATTTGAATAAATGACGTTTTTAACAAGAAGCCCATTCAAGAAAATTTTTTGCTTAATCCCTCTCCAATTTTAGAGCTTTTGACGTCGCGTATTGGACATAAATATTTTATTGTTAGATTCAATCCTCACACCTAAAATCGCAATAGGGTAAAGGGACATTTCAAAACCCCCGCTAGATGAGCTCTTTCAATGGTTAAGACATGTAAGCATATGCTCTGAATGCACTTTAGTTAAAATGCATAGTTGGTTCACCGCGCCTTAGTTATTTTGTCCAAGAGCTGCATTGTTTCCATAAGGTATCAGTTCTTATTTGTTTGAACCGCATGGCGTTATTACTTATTTTTTATTTGATAGGATGACCTTTTTGATCTTAAAAGTGGCTACTGTTATTTATTGGTACGGGGCTTACAGCGAAACGACTTCATAGATGCATTTATTTATATCGCCCCCAAGTCCCTCAAAACAGTAGTGAGGCAAAGCGATCTGGCAGAGCCCACGTTGCTGACGTACAAAAGAATTGGGAGGACATTAGCATGCTTCGAAGGTACTGGTGTAGGTAAAAAGCACTGTAGCCACTTGATAATTTTACAACTCTGTGCTTAATTACACAGGCAATTGAGCCTCTAGGTTTTACTTCTGCTCTGCGGCCTTCTGCACGATATTAACGCATGTTCTTCCATACTATCTTAACTTATTACAACTTCATTGAAGGCTTGGGACCCCATAGTACACTCCGCACCCGCTGTCGTTAAACACAGTTTAACAAATTATCAAATCACCACATATTGTCAAATCGAGACTCTTCTTTATTTAACCGAAAGTAATATTTGCATCCTTTCTTGCAGAATTATGCGCTGCAATTGGTGCTACGTAGAAAATTTAAAACCTTATTAATCAAGGTATAATTAATGCAAGGCTCTAATGGACGCCCACATCAGTTCGTGATAGCGATGGATTTGCGTAAAGTATTTTTATGCAGCCAGTATTCATAAAAGCATGCGATTTTGCATAGATAAGAAGTTTCCTAGTTTGTATGAAAGGACTCATCGTTTTGGGTTCCTCACAGGCAAGTTTAGTTTTGCCGGATGCTCGAAAAGAGCAGAACTGCAACAAGAAGATGCATTTGTTTGATAATTCTAGGTTCCTCTTCGCACGAAATTGAAGATAGTCTCGCACATTAAAAAAATACTTATGCATCAAAGTCCTTGCCTTAGGGCATTATCTTCACAATAATCAAAACGCAGAAATGAAGAATAGCAGCGAGGCATAAACGAGTCATGTTTCCAATTGAAAGCGTTTATAGAAAGTGCTAGAAAAGGGACCTGCCATGCCGGTCTCGGCAGGCCCCCTGTCACCCAACTAGGGAAGGAAGAGGTCTAACCAAGTTTACGTGACCCTCTCCCTCATGAATCGAAGTTGGTCTGTCACAGCAACCTGCAAGCGCGCTCTCATCTCGGCCATTCTGAGTATGCCTTTTACATTAATGTAATTAGTCGAATAATTGCTCAAGCATGATTGGCTGAGCTCTAAGAGTAGATGTAACGTTGTGCGCGCAGCATTTTGCCTTATCCCTTTTTGCGTTTTTGACATTAACCAAGCTTATGCTATCATTATCGTCGTCATAACTATGGGGTTTTTCCAATTAAGATGTTTTTGTAAACAAATACGGGAGGAAAAGTACCGCGTCTTAGTAACAAAGGACCTTCAAAAACGAATATCTTATTTTTCCATGTCCTGTATTGTGTCGATTTTTATAAATCTTTTCCTTGGAATAATCGCCATGCTGATAAGCTTAAGAGCGCATCGTCTGTTAAATCCGCAGGTGACCGATCTGCGGGACGAAGGCTCAACCTCCTGGCTGGTAGCCGAGTCGCGCTTCCTCCAAGCCAAGCGGCTCCGAGTGCTAGCGTTCGTGCTGAACTGCTGCGGCATAGTGCTCACTATGTGCGGTATAATTCTGCTTCTGATGTACTTTGGCACAAAGCCGGAACAGAGGACCTCCATCCTGGACGTGATCGCCTCTTTCACCCAGTGCAAAACTGCCTTCCATCCCGCGTTAGCTCGCACTCCAACTCCTCAGTCGTAGCACTGACCTTTCCCACTTCTACTACTGCTACAATGTGTGCAATTCCCCATGTTTGTGCTGTCAACTCTGTCTGACCGAATTTTCTTCCCAGTTGTCTACATATCCATTTATGTATTACAAATACTTTACAAACTGTCAGCTTCCGTAATCTGTTAAATTTTCATGAGTAGAATGTTTATTACGCTCGGATCATTTACGCCACCGAAAGTAGTTAAATTCTCTCCTTCGATTTAAAGGCATCCCAATGCAGAAAAGGAAAATCTCGACCGCATACAAAAAAGTGACTGCTGACATAATTATTTTAATAAAATAGGGATTCACGAGGTCTATAGAAATTTCTACCATTTTTCGGGCCGGTAGATCGGATGATTAGATAGTTATAGCCCCTTGACTTAAATCCTGATATAAATAAAAGACCGACAGGTTATACGGAATATTCTCACGTGTATACACAGTTAAGTGTTACATTTTAAGACTACTTAATTTCGTTTATTTCCTAAAATTCGGAGCATTTAAGGTAGACACAATGCTGCATGAATGCTCAACAACAAATTTAGCAAATAAATCCGCATTCTAGCCACCTTGCAATCACTAGATTAGACAAGCTTATGAAACCGAGGGGAGTGAATGCCACTATAAAACTGGTAGAACACACATGTTGTCATAAAAAAGAGTGACTAAAGGGCCGCAAACCATTTGATTACTTTGCCAGACAATAATTAAACCATTCGCTCATGAATCGAGAATATATCTATTAGTTGAAAAAATAAATCTACACCAGCTGGTGTAAGTGTGCCCCAGGTCTTAAAGCACAAATGCGCAGAAAGTACCTATCCGGAGGGTTGACCTTGCCTCAGACATTCCAGTGATGAAACATAGCTGCTCAGAAAGGAAAATGGCGTTTCAAAGCAATGTAACAATGACTTCATCAAGATTTTGGCATAGTAGATGCATAGCTCTAACACAAATTATAAAATGGTTCGCTAATACGTTCTAAAAATGAATATTAGCACTTAAGTCTGCCAGCTTACATGCCGCAAAATCATGTAATCTAAAAGTGTTAACTGCAATATATTAATTGCTTAGGGGCTCCGCCATTGCACCTTTGCCAGGTCGTCTGGCCTCCGGGCCACACCAGCAGTCCCAATTCCTTCTATACGTCGACAGTTACACATTCTGTCCTAGTAATGTTTTCGCTCGTCTTCAGGGATGTCTCGGGACGCAGCATTAACTGAATTGATAGGTTATAATTGTGATGTAAGAGAGCGTTTGAAATAGTTTATTTCCATATTTGACAAATACCTAGCAAACCGTATCATTGTTTCTATTTATTACCCCATATTTTATTTGTTTATTTGATTTTTATCGCGCAAGTTACTTTGACTTCATTTGAAATATGGCGAACCGATTAGGCTAGGCAGGTTTTTGGGCGCCCCAAGTCTTCCATGTAAGGAGGGTGGCTGGGAGGCAATGGACAACCGGGAAACGATGCTGCAGAGTGGGAAAACAAGTCGCGGAGCCTAAAGAGCCCATAAAAATAAGCACAGTTTAAGTAGGAAAATGAATCACTACAGCTTCCTATTCCAATTATTTGTTGTTCCGATGCTGAGCAAAAATGGTCTCAAACAAGAAAAAAACGCCAAAAAATCCTAAATCTCTTGTAATTCAGTCAGATCGTGAGTGAATAATTTTACTCTGATCACGCCGTCGTGATTTGCTAGTCTACTTAACTGTAATACGATAGTGGTTTATCCCTCGGTTCTGGTGAGGCGCCACTTTTGTACTTCGAATTAGCCCCCTTGTACCTCGCTAGGTGGGCTGGCCTTTTGGGCCATGCCAACAGCCCAGACACCTTCTCCGTGCTGAATATATATATTCTGCCCGAGTATTTTGTCTTCTTTCGTCTTCAGGGGGTCCCGGGACGCTACATAACTGTGCAGGAAATTCAGTAGTCGCAAGTAGTACTTACATACTGAAGCATGGTCTTCGTGCTATGTTAATGGCCTCTTGGTAACTCTGTCTATTGGCGACATTTATTCTTTCATGCTACCGTAGCTTTCTAAGTCTCCTCTGAGCTCTTAAGAAGTCATTATGGTATGACAGAAAACACATTACTGATATACAGATGTGTAATACGATGGTTGTTTATCTCTCAGTTTTAAGGGGAGCCACTTTTGACTTGACCTTTATACCACGCCGAATGGGCTAGCCTTTGGGCAAGGCTAGTAGCCCAAATGCCTTTTCTGTGCCGAATATATTTACTCTGCTCGAGTATTATGTCTTCTTTAGTCTTCAGGGGAGACTTTGGACGCGGCCTCATGTATCATGGCCCAAAGTATGGGCGGCTGAGCATGTGTGTAATCTACGGAATATTAAATACCCGCGTAGTCGAACACAAAACTTAATACTACACTGCCTCGGCTCGTTACAACTCCCGAGAGGACCCGGTGCACAAAAATATTTCAGCAGCATTTCCAGTGTATTTTTAGCCATTTAAACTGCCTACCAATTTTAAAACTTGCTAATAAATAGTAAAGTAACAAAGACAGTGCATTTGGTTGAGAGAAGTCCCAAATATGATTAAAACTATATACAAATGTTTAAGGCCTTTGGAGGTTGACGATTTTAAAAGTCACGAATCAAGTGCATGCCTAAGCGCGTTCCCCTGCAAGATATACCATGGCATAATTTTGTGTGCATTTAGCAGAGTTATTACCACGTATTTTACAATTGAAATAACAATAAACATCAATATGCTCCAAAAAGTGCTGCCTGGCGGTACTTAACCAGCTCTTTGACCAGCACACGAATTTGCCAAAAATCATTTAAGCGCTCTCAGTGCAAAGACCTTAAACCTTTCGTATTTTTGCAAGATTTAAAATTGGTGAACTTGTTTAACTAGTCTAAATTAATGGTAAATCAGGTGGGAGTTGATTGGTGTCATTGTAAGGTCCTCGACATTTTCGGCTCAATGGGTTCGTGTTCTAACGTTGGGTTATTTTTGGCAAATGAGAAAAAGGACTTTCTTGCCCAGTACATGTACCTCACATTTTCTAAGTTTAGTGCAACGAAATGCCTCAATATAATTGGAACATCTCTCAATCAGGGTCCCTCAAGTGATTCCGTATTTACAAATACTCAAATCAGTCTTTGTTGCTGCATTACAGCAGCTCGATTAGTACTGAAGTATTTTATGCTTTACCATTGGTAAAAATGCTAGATCCCGTGTCATTATTACTTTCGGAAGTCGAATCTTGCTACGCTTCTCTTCACTGAACTGAGTGGAGATCGTGTTTTACCAAACCTTTCAAATGACACAGTTATGTCTTTCCTTTCTAACCACCTTCTAGAATCCTATTTGTAGTGTTCTGCTTAATTTTATCAAAGGCGACTTTAACCAGGTCTGTATGTACTCTTCGCGAATATTACAGTGGTTACCATACTGGAATGTGGATCTATCACCTTGTGCATCTGTATTGTTAATTGCGCTCATGCCACTTTTTAGTGCCTGAATGACGCATTATACGTATATTTTAGGAAGAGTTTTGATGATGTTAAATATTTAGATGGATCTAATACCGTTAACTTTCGAGGTATTAAGATAGTCCTGAGATCTCTTCGCAACTACGCCCATACTAACGCGGGTCTCACTACCAATGACAAAGTTTTCGCGTTGATCTCTGAAATGGCTGATCATGTATGCGTAAGTACTCGGTTGATCCAGTGTATGATACACTGCTTTCATTGAAGCTCATTTGTTTCGTCATGTATGTCATATCTTTACCTTTTTCACTTAATTTTCACGTTGACAACTTATTTTTGAGATTACACGTGCAGTTTTTTTCTAGATGGTAATCTTTGGCTTTTACTATGAATTACTTGAAGTTGGTAGGTATCTTACAGACCATTCACTATTAGCCGAACAAAGGGCTCTACGACATTTCGAGGTTTTGGGATGCTACTACTGTAATTTGGGAAGTTTTTGTTATTTCTGATGGGAAATCTTCGATCTTTGATGAACTTGATGTCTAAATGTCATCATGATGACTAAACGAATGAATTGCTTGATTTATTGTAGGAAAACTTAACCATATTAGATATTCGCATGGAATTCGAAGAAGTATGTGACTTGATATGCATGTTTGCTGGAAGTGAACTTTCCCTCATGAAGGATTATCAATCTGAGAAATCTTTGGAACTTGAAAATCGTCGCATTCGTATGTTCCATTCTTGTGTAACATTTTAGTTATAGATTCAGGCAATGAGTTTCACGACAATTATAAGCTGAAGTTAGTAAAAAGACTGATTTCTGATAGTGTAAGACCCTCGTTTGTGACTGAGGTGACGCGTGCTATAACAGAAGCTTGTGCATCAACGAAATTCGCGGATGCTCCATGCACATTTTCATTTTCTGGGAAAGCGGAAACGAATGGTTCTCTCCAGTTCGTATTGCTTTATATGCACTATTTTACCTCGGCATCTTTTGGGAAGTTTTTAACTCCGGATGTTCCCATTACTAATGAATCGGCTGACCGAACGCAGGCCACCGTCTCAACTGCCTGTACAGCCTGGCTTTCCTCCGTCGGGGCTGCTGTTGGATTGCCGACCTCTGGACTCCTTTTGAGTTCGGTATGGTGTCCTCTATTTGAGTCAATTTTTGTTTGACGATATTTTAGGTTGAAAACATCTCACACATTATCCTTGACAGGCACTATTTTTCCCTTATATTTTAGTCTAGCATTTACCTACACGATCCTAGAACTTTAAAAATACAGTCCAATTAGGTAAATGCTAATTTAGCTAATGTTTAAAGAGATTGCTTTATAATTGTCTGTGATAATAAAAAGAGCATCATTATGTTACGGGGCTAGGGTAATGTGTTCTTCCGTTTATGTCATAGTTGTTCCAGTAATCAAAGGAGATCCTTCTCATATGCTCACTAATTTTCATTTGTACCTAATGCCTTTTGCACTCATGTAAATGATTGCTTTTATAGAGCGTCAGACATTTATGCGAAATCGTCCTAGACAAACTTTTACCGATGACTCTTGCTTTTGTGATGTCATCTGATGCAAATCACGGAGAGTCTTTCGCTGATATAGTTCTCGCATTGTTCAATCCCTTGATTAACTTCTTCTCGGGATTTACTGAAAACGTGAATCTGCAAAAGTCTGGTCTAGCACGCCAGATTGTCAATATAATGGTAGGCAAAGAACATTTCTCCTGTGCCAATGGCGCTCAAAAGTACCTCGAGAGGATGTCTATAGCAATTGCCGACATTCTGGTGCTTCGAACGCTCTGCGAAATCCTGTGCTCAGTGCTTCAGGATAACAATCAGACCATAGTAAATGGAAGATCATCTAACGTAGTTGACTTCCTCGAGGAAATGTAGGTTCTGCATTAATTTTGTTCACGTTGGATAAAACTCGTGTTAACCGTGATCAGACCTGTAAAAGTCCTATTGTTGTGTATTTATTCGTTTTTTATGTAGATTGAGGACATTTATTCCGCGTCGTGCTTGTTTGTCTTGGGAACTCTTGATCGCATGCATTAAATCGGTATTCATACTTCGTGCTTTGTATGCTTTGAACTTTAGCAAAATATAACGTAAACTTGAGCTACCTTTTCAAATAACACCCAAGTTTTAGCTGTTTTGCAGCGTGCATCGGTTATCAAACTACAGTTGGTTAGAATGCAAAAATAAGTCTTTTCTTCAAAATATATTTATGCTCAACTTTTTTGTAGAGTGCTTACTTTGACTCAATTTGGGAAGCAGTTTGACTCAATCGTTCGTCAGCTTGCGGACCGCATTACAGAAGTGGCCATTCAGCACTCCAAATTTGTTTGTAATGACTCTTCTTCATATCAGCCTGTTGAAAAGCTACTGAAGACTCTCAGCATAGGAGACTTTGGTCCGGCTGCTTCTGCAGATAAAGGGGCCGAAGTTGGTCCCAGTGAGTGGAGCTTCTTTATGAATGCGTTGTGGAAGTCGTTTTGTGCTACATGTCCCGCAGGTCTTGCTCGGCAAATGTACAGTCGAGTTGTGGCCGAGACGCTCGTGCATATTGTCCACATGGTGGCCAATGCCACTTTAACGAACGATGACGAGGTCAAGAACTTGACGTAAGCAATTCACACTCACTTTTCGATTTGTTTTGTCTTTAACTTGAATTTTTGTCGCATTTGATTTACCCACTCAAACTATGTTTGCTATGCTAGTCTGATATTAACTCAATTACTTTAAAGTTCTGCATGTAAGAAGCTCTTTACCACATTAAACCCCACTCGTGCATTCAGAATGACAATAGCGTTTAAAATATGCTCTCAAAACCAGCCGAAATTCTTCAGCATTCTGGGGTTATCGCTGAGTGAAGCTGTTCCACATATATTTTGCAAATAAACCCTATTTTTTATCCCAAAGGTCATTCATATGGAGCACCTTGAGAGAAACTCATCAACTGATATTTCGCTGTGTAGAAACGGAGGCCGAAATTCTCGGCCAAGGATTGCTCTCAAGTGACTTGCAAACCATACACTCCTCTGCGCTAATGCTTACGCAATGCCTTATCGTGTTCGGTGCACCCACGGAAATCATCAGCAAGTAGATAGAATTTGCACTAGATGTTATCATTAGAGTACTAAGCAATCGGATGTTGTATTTTTCTTTCTTTAAAGGGTACACTTAAAGGGATTCTTTTCTGAACTCAGAAATGGTTCATTCATAGTGCCATTCGAACCTAGCAACTGGCTTAAAATAATCGACCCTCGTCGATTTCGTCAATCTTCCAAAGAGGCTCAAGAGTAAGGACAGATTATTTTTAATGCTCATCGGCCATGATTTTGTCCTTTTTTAGACTCTTGGTTTTATTTCGACACTTCAAAAGTAATCCGTACTTTGACCCACTAAGCGCATTGAAGGCAAGTTGTTGTTTCGAAATTAGCATATTGGTTCAACACTTCTCACAAATTAGATTGCGATTTACAAAAGTCAAGTTCACGTCATTGCCTAGCTTTGGATTTTTAGCAATAATATGGTATGGGGCATTTGATTTTTATCATGTTTCATTCGTCTCTGGTTTAATGTGTGCGCTATGTGATTCATTATTGCCGTTTTTCAAATGGCTTGCCGACTGATTGGGATTTTAAATGCGAGCACACAAAACTTCGGCAAGACGCTAGTCACGTTGATTTGCTTTATCTTTGTGATTTGGGCATTTATACTTTAGCTTGATTATAAATATTCCCTCGTTATTTGCTGTATTTTTAGTTAACTTTCTTCGATAATGGTAGACTTCTCAAGCCGTTGCTACATTCTCATTCATGGGTCAATTCAGAACAATCAGGCTCAGACAGAGATTCCATCTTTGCCGTATACAAGGCGTGTTTTAAGTTATTTGCTATTGCTGACTTTCCAAATGACTGCTACGGCAATATCCTAGCACCTCTTTTTGAAAGGTGAACTAGATGGTCTCTAATAGTGATTCTTTAGAATTTTTATCCATCTTTTTAAGTTCTAACATGTTTGTCTTATAAATGGTGGCTGACTTTACATTCGTTTTCAGCGCTAAAGGTATTGGTATCCTTAATATTGAGAGTTCACCACCATATCCGGTATGGTTTGAAGCTTTTATTGACTTTATTGCGGACTCAATGCAATCGTGAGTTTCAATTTTCAGTTCTCCCTATTTCTCGCTGTTATTCACAACCTTTTAGGATATTTAAGATGCTCTGTGATTCGGCACTTGACCGCACGATAGTAGCAGAAATCAGAACTAACCTTATGGGGTCCAACATTGCTGATAGTTTCTGTGAGAGAGATGGCCCCCCCTCAGGGTCTACAAATGAGACCTTTTTGTGTCCCTTATCACCTGACTTCACTTTGCAATGCATTGAAATAATAAATGAACTCTACTCTGTTGCGATGGAAAATTTGCCCCCAATGCTGCTGACATTCTTCGGACAGCAAGATGTTGCGCTCAGCTATCTAGATGGATCTCATCCATCTGTCGGGGGATCTGTTACTATCCAGGTCATCCTCGCGTCTCTCAAGCGTCGAGTAGATAATAGCCCAATAAATAAAACTGTGAAATTTGAATGTCACAGAATTTTGGCTAGGATCATCGACACCCTAAATGATGGTTCAAAAGAGGGTGAGGTTTAAAGTGTTTTGATTTTTTGTTTTGTTTAGAGATTATTTCTTCCCGTAAAAATTTCAAAAGATGTCTCGAAGCGTACTCTGATCGTGATAGGTAAATTTCTTAATTTATAAAAATGCAATATAACCAACTTCCTTGCCGCATAATTGGTATGATTTTGCAGTTTCCTCAACGAAAAGAAGACTCCAGGAGATCTCCATTTCCAAATAACACAGCAACTGCGTCTTGTTCAACACTCAGGTAGGGGTCAGTACTTACTGTATAAGATTCAACAAGTTTCTTTGGAGTTGCCATTATTAATGCCCTTTTTAACGTTTCGTGACGCCCAGCATTGTTTCGATTATTAAATATTCTATGGTTCATGTGTATTTCAAAGCGTGTATTCTTTGGATTTTCAGATTTCGCTGCTCTACTAACGCTTCATGACGTTTTAAAGTGCAATCTGGACTTGGTACAGGACATATATTTGCACGATTCTAACATCAAATCATCAAACACCCCACAAGCAACATTCCCAGATCCCAAATTGCACAGTAGTCCACTGACGCTTTTCGCGAATGAGGGTCCCTTCACCGAGGTGCGCTTAATTGTCCCAGGAGTTCGCACAGTTAATACATAAATCGCCGCAATGTTTTATTTTGCAGGAAATCTTGTGGGAGGACGTCTGCTGTAGTGATCTTGGCCTTACGTGTGATACTCTAACTCGACTATTTTCTTTGAAATCGGAACAGTCGAATGCTCTAAGGCACCTGCACTCTGACTGATGTTGTCTGCTCTTTTTTGGTCGCTAACATCTGTCAACTTTGCATCCTTTTAACCGGCGGGGTCCGTCCGAGCGTTGCCTCGTAGGGGTGATGATCGAGGTGGGGCTCTGCTCCGTGGGCTAATGCTGTTCATTTTGGGGTTCTAAGCCAGTCAGGCGTGGGGAGGCGTGGTCGGGTGGGGGTTCGTTGCTTTTACGGGCGGATTAGTGAGGATTGGCGGAGGAGTCTCACCACAAGTTTCCGTCCTCGTTGAGGAGTCTGGAGACTAAAAATTTTATTTTGAAGGATAGATTAATTTTTTACATAATAAATAGTCTTTATTTGTACCAAATATTTTGTTGTAGTATACTAACGAGTGACCCTAAATATGACCTTGAGCCATGGTTTGAATACCTGCACAAAATGATCAGAGGCGTTCCATTTTTCCATACTTCTTAAAGTAAGAATTGTGAAATCACCGTATGCCTTCCGTGGCGTTAGAGAGTTTTTCCTTATTTTTACGGGGATAAAAAGGGCCTTGAATGGACCAGTCAAAGACTTATTGTTCCAAGTTTGCGTCAAAATCAAGTCTTTTTGTTTTGCGTAAATTTTGACATCGTTCTGGTTCTAACCTATTTATTCTTTAATCAGGACGGTTTGTTAACTAAACGCACTTGCCTATCCCAATCTACAACGATTGTCTATCAGCAGAGTTGTTAGCAGGAAGCGCATTCTTCGAATAATCTATCCCGATATGATTTGTTCAGCTTTATAGTTTTGCCTTTTATTGTCGTGAATATGCTTGAATTCGGAAATAAACCCAGATTTATGCATTTTTTTGTCCTTATATAACTATCCAAAGTTAAAGGACGTCAGTATTTGATGGATGCACTCGGATATTCCTATTCCCAAGTTTACTTCATTTCTGCCATTTCCACCCTATCCAATTAGTTTCATTATAATGCATAAATCAGGCTTTGAATATGCTAATTACAAAACTGCGTTGATTGTTAAAGTGTGATAAGAGTGTTTTATGTATTTTCCTTAAACTTGAGCACTCAATTGAATATGTATTTTGCTTTTTGTGCTATTTTTTTTATTTTAGAACCAATTGAATGGTATTGATATCGAATAGATTCGGATATATTACTTTCTCTGTATTGGTTTGGATTAGTTCCAGTTTTTATCACTTCTCGCTAAGCCTTGATGAACCTCTCATATTTTTCGATGAGCATTGTGAAATTAGCGATAATTTTGGGTGCAAATCTGTTGGAAACATTGGGAATAAACAAGTCAGCGAATGTTCTAGGTGGTTAAAGGAAACTACATCAATGCTTGGGAAGGATGTTCCACCATCAATTATATCTGTTATTATTGTCGCCCATAATGAACGGAAGCGTATTTTGAACGACACAATAGAGAGTTTACTTTCGAACACCTCCCATGCCCTTTTGAAAGAAATAATAGTAGTCGACGACTGCAGTCAACCAGCAATTGACCTAACTCCAAACGGTTTTAAAATACAGGTAAAATTTTCTTTAGCTTTCTTGTAAGTGTCATTGTAAATACCGTATTTATAGTGTGCTTGCGTTTTTTGCAGGTTTCACTAATTCGCAACACCGTTAGGCAAGGACTTATCAGATCTCGCATCATAGGAGCTAACGAAGCCTCTGGAAATGTCCTAGTTTTTGCTGACTCACATATACATTTTGCTAAAGATTGGTTAAAGCCTCTTGTTCTCCGTCTTCTCTACTTTGAACGGTTCAAATCTAGTTCTCACCTCTTGGTTCTAAGCCCCTTCATCAGTGCGTTCACGGAAGATGGGGAGGACTATCCCGCAACTGATTACCTTCGTGGAGGATTCGACTGGGATCTTACCTTTGTGTGGGAGCCCATGAACGATGAGGAGAAAGATAACGTGAGTCGGTTTGGTTGGACATGATTGATATCGTTGATGGTGGTACCTTTTCAAAGTACAACAGCTATTTATTACGTTTAATTGTACAACAGGTATTGCTATTTAAGGGAAACGTAGACCAATGTTACTTCCCTCTGAGATGTCCGGAAACCAAAATCTTCTTTAATTTTTGCAATTTGTATTTCATGTAATGGTGTTTATTCAATACCAATATGACTAATTCAACATGATCCCCGCATCTTTAGCGTTAAGATCATTGGTACATGACACTTTATCACAAAGAACATGCTCTAATGCTTCATCATTTGTTCCCTGCTTTTGTTGTTAATTACTGACCATTACACTTAAAGAATATGTCAAATGTTCCCAGAACTTAATTAATTTCACTTGTACGATTTTTACAGCGTAAATAGATGCTTTACTATCATAATTTCAACACCTCTCTCCTCTCATTGGCGTAGCTCAACACCTACGGCCGTCAGATGAATTTGACATGGTTAAGTCTGCCGCGTCCAAGCCCAGTCATTGCTGGGTCGGTAATCGCCGTAAATCGCAGTCGTTTCATAGCCTTTGGTGCCTTCGATGACCAAATGGAGATCTGGGGTGGAGAAAACATTGAGTTAAGTCTGCGTGCCTGGATGTGTGGCGGTCGAGTCGAGATTATTCCATGTAGCCGCGTGTCGCATCTCTTTCGAAGCTCTCACGGCTATTCCTTTCCCAAAGGCAAAATGATCACTATCGTGCAGAATTTGAAGCGTGTTGCCATGGTCTGGATGCAGCCCTCCAGAGACCTACATATTGATTCGGTCAGGTATCCTGTACCTCCGATAGCACTCTTCTACTCGTCCCAACAAGACGCACTCAATATTCCAGCCAGAGATCTTGCCTTACGCGAGCGACTAAGACAGCGACTAGAATGCAAAGACTTTGCTTGGTTTGTTGAAAATATCTATCCGGATTTGAAAAGAAAGGGAAGTGCCGTCAAACTTCGTGATAATGCCATGATTAAAGCCCAACTCTCTAAGCTTATCTCGAAGCTTAAATGAATCAAGAGCTTTCCGTTAATATACATTGTATTGCTTTTGTATGCTTTGATGAGAGCAACTGAGTTGCGAAATCTTATTTTTAATACAAATTCATTCACCTATATACAGGTCCCCTTATACTATTGTTGTGTGATAGGGAAGGAAGGAAATTATTTGCAAATGCATGAGATTAATTTATGACATGAACGTCTGAAACACTTGTGATGCCAGAGGGATTAGGTCCTTCATATCACTCAAAGTGGCAGCAGCTACTTTTGCACTCACTTTGCTTTTGGTCCTGTATTACCATGCACAGGATGATTTTCCTCATTTCCATGATCTTCCGAGATCTTTTTAGTCAGTTGTTCTATTCAAAGCCTATGATAATTTAACAGACTACCTTGAGGATTACTCCCCGTTCGTGAATATTAATCCAGTTATTTTTTCCTCTTTTTGACTACGAAGTCTGATTTGACACCTTTGATTAGGTCTCAACATTTTAATGTATATATGCTAGTTACTTCATTTGGTGCCAACTTGGATCTCAAATGCATTTTCAAGTACTAATCGTTTCGCGCCAAAAATAACCTACTCATGAAAGCTTGTGCTTCAGCTGCTGCAGCTGACATGCATTTTTTCATCGAGATTCGAGGATGAGATGACAAGTTGTCGATAAGTTCTCGAGCAATCCTATTCATCGTGTCACGAATTAATAAGAATCCATACATTATTTTGTTAAGCCTTTTTACCCCCTCAGTGTATTTCTTTATCGTTAATGCAAATAAGTGTTCTATTAGCTGTTCTATAGTGATACTGCACTTCGTATTTGATACAGTTTCATTACACTTCCATTCAAAGCGTAAATACCCTGTCTTCTTCGATCATTAAATACAAAAAGATAGCAAAACTTGGCCAATAATTAAATTTCTTCTTTGGTTTTTCATCTAGTGTGAGAACATGCTCAAGAGTTACCTCTTTCCGAGTTTTCAGCTTGGATAAACCATTGTCATTGTCATTGTCATTTCATTTTGAGGTTTCATTAGGAAGACTCAATTTTGTACTCAGGCAATTCAGATTTTAAAAAAGGACTAGGCTTTTCACAAATTTAATAGCAACAATCTATCATCATTAAAGATTATGGTGGCTAGATTTGTGTCACCGCATGAGGTTGAGGAAACACTGAAACTAATCTGAGTTTGCGTTTGTAACTTATAGACTGCAGAAGACATTGATAGTGGTAATATGAGTATAAATGGTAGGGTAAAACTTACTGTCATTGTGGGGAAGAAAATCAGAGGCATGAAAGTATGGGTAAGATGAATTGGGACTTAGTTTCCAGATCATGGCTATGCGCATTCTTTGCATGACTACTGGAAAAGGGGTACATATTTCTGTCCCTTACACTGCCATAACTTCCGATTTTTAGGCGTAATTGACCGCCGCTTGTGACTAGTTTGAGTCCCGACGCCGTTCTGTTCCTGCAATCTTTTCGTAAGATCATTACAAACCGCAGCGGTAACTGAGTCCTCTGAACACCTTCGTAATTGTCTGGTCATCCGCCTGGCTACGATTTGTGTCGCCCCCCAAATCTGTTGTGCATGCAAACCCCTTTTACTTCTCGTCTCGTCTGCCACACATGCATCAACTGCAAATTCGTATTTGGTTTTCGCCATGTCCACATTAATTGCGTTGTGATAGTGATGCCTTGCATCAAAAACCGAATTCCGCCGTAGCATCTGCCTGCGTAGGTGGAACTGTTTGCGGTGTGATTGATCGAGAAGGAAACAGCTTTTAGATCATGCGCCAAAAGATAACGTGAAGCAGGCTGAACAGCGATTGCCGTCCGTTGCATATCTCTTAATTTTTACATTTAAAATGCCCATTTATTAGTCACTTTTTTTGCATTTGGCTCAGGAGCTAGTATTAATAGAGGTAATTAAGGAAGGTGTAATACGGATGTGATTCTTATATTTACAGGGCTCTCTTCTGATTATCACTAGGGTACAAGCAATTGCTTTGTATGTATCAACAGATTCACATATGAAGTCCTTAAGAGGAATTATGCTAATTTGGTGTAAAAGCAATTAGCTTAATTGCTCTGATGAATGACGAGTACTGCTGCCACTGGCATAAAGGCGCGGTTCCCCATCTACAAGATCGTTCTAATGTAGTGCTAAAGACTCACTTAAATGAGATTCATTATTATGGTGTTCTCCACGCACAAAAAAGATAATCTACTTCAACCATATTATTGATTTCATTCAATTTGTTCTGCCAATAGTTTTGTAGTCTCCATGCAACTGATGTCAAATTGCGGTCACAGCGCTTAAAAGGCCTTAGTGTGCGCTCTCCACAGAACCCGACTTGCACACTTTTCGAGGGAAGTTCTGACAACAATGTGTGTCTGTATCCGCGTAATACGATTTAACATAGCCAAAAAGCCGCGTTTTCTCTATTTAATTAATTTAGCCATAATTCTCATACTAGTTTAGGTACCGCTACTCAAAAAAGCGGTTGTCAAAATCAATTTATGCAAAATTTGTCGAATTTAAACTCCCGCTAATCCTGTAAATTTTGATTGGATTTTAGCAACCCCTCACTTTGAACCAAGTTTAGTTTAATTTATGTAAAAAGTTTTTTTTATGATAGAGAGGTAATTTACTCATTCTTGAGCATGCATATACTATGTGAGAGAAGCCTCCCCTAGTTTTGTACCAGAGCATAAAGGTGAATAAGTCAGCGTGAGAATTTACTATTATAGTAGCTATGATGTTCATGTAGTCTGTATACTGCTGATTAATTCGCAGCTCGAACTATTGGGGCTACGGATGCAGTTGCTACTTTGGTACGAAAATAATGAGCAAATTGTGCGAGCACTCATTCAAAATCTGTGCCTCGGGTGTAGAATGAGTCGTCTCCCTGCTTTAGGGCTGTACTCTTCACTACTATCTATTTTTTTTGTCATTTTTTAAAGAATAAATCTGAGAGTTATTTACGTCGTCTTTCTTGCCGAGTGTTATTTTAAACCCATGTGAGAAAATGTGAACTGTTAGGTCTTATTGCGTAAAGAAAAACTGAGAGTAAATTTCCTGTTTGATAAATGGTGACTGGCGCCAGTTTAAGGCTCAATCCTGTTCGGGCATGTTTAGTGTCAAAGTATCTCATTACAGACTAAATTGACTAGAGCCCTAGATCTGTGATAGGGTTATGCAATTGCATTACCTGCGTCTGAATAAATCTAATAGGTGTCTAATGAAGAGTGAGATCCGTGACCTTTTAATGACCCATACTTTGTGTATTACGATTAAAATACAAGTTGCGGTTAAATACATCTGGTCACTAAACATAAACGAAAGCATTTGTAACTTTACTTTTAATTGTGGTTAGCTGAAGATGCTTTGATCTATTGGTTGAGGTTAAAAAGACTTTGTAGGCTGAAAAACCCCACGGTATTATATTCAACCAATGTCACGAATGAATGTGTGGTGGAAAAATTTCGCATTGAGAAATTCGCAAGTCTGATTAATACGGCCTAGTCTGTTGCGGTGGTGCAGCTGTGTTGTCATTTATCAACTGAAATGAAATGCAAAACAGTTGTCTTAGGTATTGCGCTTATTATGCCACACGTTTTCGCGACTACTATTGGCACGCACACGCTCATACACTCAAGGATTCCCCAGCATGCACCGGTCTGAGTGAAGTGGTCTAGCAAGAAAATTCTAGGAGCAACTGTTCGGCCGGCTGATTGCTGGCGCCCTAGATAGGGTTAAGTGGAAGCGAGGCAGAAGTATACCGACACCACGTGACTCCATAAGACTAAGCATACATTACTGACTACAATTTGTCGTCAAAAATTTAGCACTTTCTTATCTTATTGTGTGCATATCTGTAGTGGAGACATTGAGCATGAATCGGACTTGCACTTAGATTGTCATTTCACCGTTTGCACCGCATTATAACCGCACTGTGAAACCCTGAGCTTGGATATTTGAGTGAAAAGGTGTTGGTATGCATGCACATGTTTACTGGGAGTTAAAATGACTATTTTAACTATGCTCCTCTCTGACCGAGGGTACTGCCTGCATGCGGTTATTGCGAAGCTAACAACGGCGCTAACGTCAGTTTTTCCCTTTTGGCCAGTTTCAGTAGGACGCGTCTCCCACTAAACACATTTCCTCTTCAGTGGCACTCAATAACAGCTTTTTCATCTCGACAAATAGTAAATTTACAAAAGAATGACCCACCTATTGACTCCGACTACAGCTATTAACCTCCCGTTGGATGTAATGCAGTAATTTATTTTAAACATTTGTCATTTAACTACACTCCCTTAAAAAGCTGCAAATTTAACCATTTTTTTGTTTCCTAATAACCCGACATTCCGATGCCTTTACGGGCCATTTTTCCAAATCGACATTAGAGACGCTCTTTTAATGCCTGGAAGGCCCACGATCAATGTCCGACTGGTAACTCGAGGGCTCGGAGCTCAAGAGTTTTTTATGCGCACTTCCTACAGCAATATTACGACACGCTGACAGCGTGTGCGTGTATGAGTTCAAGGTCAGGGCCACGAATCGCTTCGCATTTGACACTAAGACCGCCTTATATAATGGGTGTAGTCGAAATAACTACATTAAGCAGAGGGAATCCCTCATAGATCCATTTCAAGTTCCCCTTGATTGAATTATAACTCGGAATGTTCATTCAAAATTATTCTATCATTATTATTACCAATTGTTTGCAGGTATAGTTTAAAGAATTTGACCTCCCACTTCCTCAACCACTCCAGATGTCTTTGATGGGGATATTTTGCAACCTACCATTTTTTAACATCAAAAAACCCATGAGACAAGTCTTCAGAGTATCATGCACTAATTAAACGTTCATTCATAATAACTGTCGGCAGTGCCTGTGGTGAAAATCAGTGGCTCAACAGTTTCAATTGTGCCACCTCTCTGATCTCGCTGCCAATGTGATTTCCCTTCATGGCTTTGTCAGCTTACTCTCAGGAGAATTATGAAGTATCCTGTCAGCCCCAAGCACACCCTCTGGGTGTGCGCGGCTTTGGCGTAAAGCTAAGGTTGCTGAGTAGTGAATTGCAAAATTGAAGCTATTTTTGGAGGCGCAACAAGTCATGAGTCCAGCGATAATGAAGGACTGGAAAAGTTGTGCACAATCAAAAGGGATACCAACATACCACAGAGGAGCTCAACACGGCACGTTAAAGGGTTTACATGTGCAGCCGTTGCTAGCTCTCATGCGTCAGTTTTCCTTCAGCAAGCAATTTATCCCTGCTCACTTAAGACGTGTAGCCTTCGCATGAAAGTGGTGCGCAACTCGGTGCTTAAATATGCAGGTAATTGAGTCTCTGCATGTTTTACTTCCGCTTCTCCACGATATTAACGTATGTGCCTCTACACTACTTTGGCTTACTACGACTCGAGACCCTACAGTACAACCATCCGAAAGACCAGTGTGTTCCATTTAACTTTTCCCTTAAACGTCTATGATGTGGTTCACACATTATGCTCAGTGGTATTTACGTACATCAGTTGGTGATTCGGATACCTCAGTTTAAAAATGCAGTAACTGAGCCTTATTTTCGCTCTGAAAATAACTACACTCCCGCATATTACGCAATAAAATACATGATATTCACAGTGGTTTAGTACTCTTCTCATCAATTCTATCTGCGGCTCAAGGTAACAACACGTGTCAGGAGCCTTCCTCGTCCCTATCAAATTTAAAGTCCTGCCGAAAATTCTGGAAAAAAATTGACTGCAATCTATCATTTCATGCAATCAGATGATTTTCTTTAGAAAATTAAATACCAGAAATCCAATACATCTAATTAGTTAATCAAAGCAACTGGCATGTATGAGGGGAATACCACATTTGTAGAATTATTAACAAGTTCAAAGTGCCAGAAAGTGGTGAAAGATATGATTAAGAAAACCCAGCCTACCGGATTTTGAAGTCGTTAATGGTAAATTATTTGGTTTTCAAAGATATTCGACAATTTTTAACAAAAAACAAAGATCCCCAACTTCATCCTGGAGTTTTGACAGCACTCTAACTGGAAGAAAATGCCAGCGAACGTTGGAATGCTGTCACAACAGAATTTTAGACTTTCTAACCAATTTCCTCTGGTCGAAAACCGTGAAAAACACCTAACCATGCCAGAAATAAATTGTGGTACAGGAATAACAGGGTACAACCTCCTTCTAGAGTGCTCCTAGCAAGTCACTAGGAACTTCGATGGACTTGTATTTCGAATCGCAGCCGCGCGGCCCCGATTAGTCAGTCAAAGATACTTTCACTGGAGAATAGGGAAATATATTAGCACGAGCCTTAGCATAATCTTCCCAAACTAGCTACCTTCAGGTAATTTGTGAAATAAACGAATTCTACCCTTGATTATAGATTCACCACAAACCATGAATCCCATCGTGTCTCAACCTAACTATTTCATACGATGGGTTTTCAGTAATGCCTACTTTTGGTTACCAAACATGCTCTATGAGACACCATTTATAGGGAAGCCAACAAATGAGACAGGCGGCAGAGCACAATAATTGTCACAATGAAGAAAAACGCTTCCAAACTAGAGGAGTTCAAGGTGCACTTTCGCTGCCCTTATTGTCATCGTCGGCGTCGACCACGGTGCCGGGAAGGGCGTCAACGTCAACATAATTGCCATCATCTTGGTCCATGAGTGAGTTGCCGCAGGGGTGGTAGATGGGAGAGAGGTTGGGACTGGCCATGCCGCGCTTGCGCGATTCATCGCTGCATTGACGCTTGAGCGGCTTGCAGGAGTCGCGAGTGCTCTCCTCGTCGCCACCGTCGCCGCCATCATACTTATCGTCTTCGTCATCCATGGTGAAGGAGAGGGGCAGGGGCCGCTGCAGACCCCGCCCCTCCGGGCTCGTCCTGCCACCCACTAGTGGACTCACCTGCGGCAGTATGACAGGGCAACAAATCACCAAGAAAGCTAGCTTCGACACCTCACATTTAAAACAACACTTCTCACATCATTGATTGCTGATGAAGGCGCAACCAGAAGTTATCCGGTAAAGTGGAAGTAAATTTCACAAATGAAGTAACCCCATGGAAAAATATCACGGTTAGAAATAAAGCAGCATTCAAGATGTTACAATAGCGACATGAATCATAATCCGTAAAAATGTTAAAATACTTAGCGGCGTTTTAAAAAGGCGTGAAAGCATCAGTGACTCGCCCCAGGGTTGGAAACTAGGACGGGAGTTTCCTCTAAAAATATTGTCAACTTTCTCCAGAAACCTCTTTTGAACATGATGTATATTTTGTGCAAAGCCGATTGTAAACGCATGCGATACACAAGTGACAATGACACTCTGATCACTAAAAGGCAAATATGGCGGCATTTATCGCTCCACCCCAAGTGGCCAATCTACTCTAGCATAATTGGATGCCCTTAGAGGAGAAATGAAATGACTTACAGGCTCAAATAGATGAGACTTTTTGGGTCCGCAAGAGGGTGTTCTACACGAACCAATTCCTGCATGTTCTAGGAGTCCAGTTAGATTGGTGTTGCCACTTTGATTAAACCTATCAACATCCTTGGGACTTCTTTTGTTTTGGCAACGAGAGCTCAAGGAGATTGATTCGGAAGCCCAGTTAACTGGCAGGCCGAGGTCATCTGCCATAGCTTCCATATCCTCAGCCGAAACAAACTGGGTATCGTGAATGCTGCGAGTATCATCAGGGGAAGCTCTAGCAAGAGAAGTAGAAAAAAATAGTCAATGTCCATAACACTGCAAAGAGTATGTGAGTGAACTGACGTTATTTTCGTTTTCATATTTACAACATTTACCCGTATTTCTAAGAAGAGAAGACGAAACCCCCACTTTTGAGTCAGTAATATTTTGAAGTTACAAAAGGGATTGAGTAAATAATCGCAGTCAAAGCTTTGGGGAAGAACCGTTTTTGGTAACATACGTAATTTAAATTACTGTTACCCACTATGTTAAAAAGTAAAATGATTAACATAGATGGTATTTCCGCCACTTTATTATCAATATCTGATTATTGGTGTTAGCCATTCGGCCATTTTAATCCACTCGCACCCACTTCCTATAATCTTTAGACAGACAAAAACGCAGGATTATAAATTAACGCTTCCTTCGGAGGTCGCCTATATAATCATGACAATAACAATTTGATCAAAAACCTACGCAACATCCTTGACTGTGTCCATATCAAAGCTTTCAGCAAAGAGACTACGTCGTTTTCGGAAACTCGGCAGATTCCCTCTCAGGCAAGATGGGCATATGGCGCTGGGGTAACGCAGATAGGAATCCTCCGTACGCTCCGCACTGGCCTCAGAGAAGATGACCCCACATTGGTAGAGATTCGAACCCTCTCCACCGCAAACAACATTCTCCTTCTCCTCAAGCCCTATGGCCTTCTGTAGAAGGGAAGGTAGATCGGTGTCCGGGGCTACAGACATGCTGGTTTGAACTTCCACTGGATAAAATAACACAAATCCACATTTTGAAGAAATGAGTATTGGCCCAGGGGAAACTAATCTCAGAGAACAAATTTCGTTAAAGCGGAAGACAAATAGAAAAACCGATTGCAACACTTTTCTTAAATAAAACCCTGCGTAACCGGGTGAGAGTATTCAGTAGGTAAATAGTAGAATAAAATAGCTGCTTTAAATTATGGCAGGAAAAGTGACTACTACGGATAATTGGTAAGATGATTATTTTACCATCTGCAACAACAACCGTCCTCTGCCCTGCCTGCTCTCCATTCCCGCTACCCGAAGTGACTAAAGTAAGCAAGAATACCAAATTCAATTCTTTTTGAATTTCTGTTTGTTAATAATGAGGTTCGCACATTCATTAATGCTTATTTTTGACGGAGATCTACCAATATATTGTGCAACCAAAATTTATTAGAAATTAGGTGCTACAGTTGGGAGTGCTTAAGTAAATGATAGGGCGAACACTGAGCAGTCAGGCGCATAAAAACCGCAAATAGTGAATTCTAAGTAGAGGTATGGATGGGCGAAGGCAACGAACAAAGAGTAAATGACAAACAAATAACAAAATTAAAAGGACGAATAAAGGTAATTGTAATCTCAAATAATCATGTAGCCGAAAATGACCCTTCACCGACCCCTATAAAAAAGTCTTACATATAGGCTTAAGCGATGACGTCCTGGGAAGGGCAGGTTTACCTGACAAAAGCCCTAAAAGTAAAAAAAAATTAGTTTTCAGTTTTCGGTTCGGTAAGATGAGACGGACGAATTATGAAGCATTCACTGTGGGCATGAAAAACGAAAATACCAACGTCACAATGACGTTCAGCAAGACATCTAATAAATATACATGAAATACACAACAAAAAAGGCACCAAATTACCTGTAAAAGGTTTTCTAGACACATCGGGACTAGGAGCTATTATGTTACTTTGGAAATACTTTGTTATCTTGCTTTGTGCAGCTTCCTCGACCTAGAAAACAAGCCGAGTAATTGGAGGTCATGTATATCTTCCTTTACACTCATAAAAATAGGGTAACTTTTAGAATGTTACACCATAAGCCCGCAGTTGGCAAGCCATTTAATAAATTCCTTCAAAGTATGGACAAAAAATTAGATCACTCATTACTTCTACCTACATCCGCATCCAGCTTCTGCTGCATTTGGAGTTGATAGGTGGGATTTTCGTCAATTTCGGTAGGAAAGTGATCCCCCTTAATCTCAGGAGACCAGACAAAGGGGATGGGTTTTGCTGCCTCACTCCTCGAGGCAAACCTGTTCGGCGGCACAAAGAGGCCTGGGGTGACGGTGGCCTCATCAAGGTGAGCCACGTAGTCCTCGTGGAAGGGATTGTAGAGGCGGCCACCTGTTGGCGTCGTCAGAACCGGCAAGTTAGACGATTTTGACGGCGTTGCAAGCTCCCTTGGTGATGTTTCTTCGGCCATTACGAATGACTTAATAGAGCCCTATTTACTGCTTTTGATGCAAAAATAGAAGAGGATCCATGCTGAAATATTTCTCCTATGATAATTTACATTAACAAAATTACCCAAACACAACTCTTTAAAGAGAAGCAATACTTTTGTTTAAAATCAAAGCCTATAAGATGCAATGGGAGGAATTAGCAGTAACCATGCCTCAGTGGTTACTTTGATTACAAATCAGAAGTGGTCGCTTGTAGGCGACAAAGCCACCTAGATTCACACCATAAACGGCACAAATCTCGTTCACGAATTGCATTTAGCCAATAAAAAAGTGGTGTGCAACAGCTTTAGCTGTTTTCATTAAGACATGAAAGATAACATTAGGTAAAGCTGCATGGGAAATAAACATTATAGGAGAATTTTCATTGGCACACGCAAATGAGTGCAACTTCAGATTTTAAAATCGACACCACACATTAAACATCCTCATTTTAAGCATAGCTTTAAGATTTCGGTAGCTTTATAGCATTGCTTAAATAGCAGGGGTAATTGGACGAGGTGGAAACAAAGTTACGCCTACACTGTATAGAAATTATGGATTCTAAGTTATCTGCAGAATCTGCTACTTAGGAGAGACTGTTGAGCAGCAACCAAGAGCTGTATAAATGCCGTCAAGGTAGTTCGATCACATTTTAGGACTCCATTGGTTGATCTGAATTCTTAAGCACTAGGAATTATTTTATTCGTAGTAAGGTGAACGCTAACTTAAATCAAAAACTAGTTCGCGGTTTATCAGGCTATGTTGGACCAAACAGTACAAATAGAATCTTAATCTCAAGCAGAATTAACAGGGTATGGCGACTATACGGAAACATGAACAAGGTTTTCGATTCAAAAATGAATGTTTTCACCATGTACATGGATATGATGCATTGTAAATCGTTAGAAAACATATAGTTATGGGGAGAGAAGATCCATTAACTCATTCAAGGTAATAAACCACATGATGTCAATAGTCAGTAAAAAACAGTTTTAGGACCCCTAAGACTCAAAGGTTTGTTTCAGGAAAATGCCATAAAGGGAAGAGCTAAAAGGCAACCACGTACATCGTCTGATTGACGTGATAACCGATTCTACGATAAAACCAATTCTCCGAGAAGAGTTCGCGAACGGACCAATCAAAAGCAAATATGCTAGATCAAAAAAAGCGCAATGCTTTCATTTCATATTTACCATACGAAATAACAAATACCTTATAGTTTGTGCATAAATTAGAATTAATTCAACAATTTAAAGTTTGGAAAATGAATTTTGTTAACTACACTTCAGCGTATTGTTGGACTTATCTTCTTTAAGGGCTTTTATTGTTAAATGTGTTAAATATATATTGAAACACATAAGAATACTTAAGTATTAAAGGCTTTAATGCTCCTCATTACGTGAGGCGTATTGAGCTCCTGATAAAACGCCCCAGTCGATTAAAAGCATAACAAATATAATCATGTCATGCTATTATTTATAAACAAAAGATCTATTCTCATGCGCGGTTACTTCTTTCAAAACCCGAATGCCTTTGTCCAACTAAAAGAATAAGGAAGCAGTTCTTCCCCCTCCCAGAAGGTTTGACCAAATCACAGACCCTCCTCCCCTCTTGACCGATGTACCACTGACGTAACAACGTGACTCCTCTGAATCGAGAAGTCTGATTAGGCGATGACACCTTGCACTATGCAACTTGGGGACTTTACGAATAATGAAAGCCCTGTAGAGAACCAGAGTTTGTCTCCTTGGGGGTCAATAGCGTCTATTGTATAATACGTCGGTTGTTTATCTCTCTATATTGGCGAGGGGCCACTTTTGAAGTGGCCTCTGTACTACGCTGAGTGGGCTGGCCTTCGGGCCATGCCAATAGCCCAAATACCCTCTCTGCGTTCAATATATATGTTCTGCCTGTGTATTATGTCTTCTTTCGTCTTCAGGGAAGCCTTGGGACGCTACATTGGTGGTAGTGGAAAGCGAATGTGACCCTAAAGGACATCTATCCTGATTTTCACTGTTGCGGAGCGGAAGAAGTACGTATGCTACGAAT